AGCATCCCAGTTCCATGGGCATCCCAGCTCCATGGGCATCCCAGCTCTACGCTGGCAAAGCCACTGGCCACAAAGTCATCAACACATCCATCCACAGCCTCCCTTGGATGGTCTGAGAGGGATGTGGAGGTGGCTTTGTTGGTGTGATGCTGATATTGATGTTATCACAGAACAGTAGAGCCATTTAGGTTGGAAAAGGTCTCCCAAGAACATCAACTGTTAACCCAGCGCTGCCAAGTCCACCACTAAACCATGTCCATGTTATGGACTGGTCAGCAGAGGTTGACTTGATGCTGTGGTTGATATGAGAGGAGTCCAAGTGACCAAAATGAAGCCAAAGATATGCTGATCCAAATCCATCCAACGGATTTCCCTTGTTGATGGTTATTTCCTATTGCCTCTCTCAGTTTCTGTTGTTGCATCACAGGAGTTTCACTTTGCTGTGCCCTTCTCAGATGGGCAAAATAACCTCATTAACTAAGGGACTCTCTTACTGAAGAGAAGGAAACAAAGCAGAATATATCCCAGATAGAGGGATGTGGGGTGGGGGGTTCTGTGTGGGTCTTGTTGAGGGGATGTAAAGGTGGTGCAGCTCCTTGGAGGTTTTGTTCCAGGCATGTGTGCCCCTGAGAGCCCACTGGGAATGAAGTCCTCTCTCCTCAGTGAAGAAATACAGCCCTAACAGTTGTCCTAGAAAATCTGGGTGAATAAAGTGAAGTTTCTTGCCTGAGCAGTTGGAAGGTGAAGTTTTATTGAGCTTCTTTGCCAGAAAATCCCATTTGATGAAATAGACTGGCAAAAACATCATCTTTCCCAGTGTCCCACGTAGGAAAAGAGCTGAAAGACTGCCATGAAGTGCAGTGACCGCAGTGACATGAGCTGTGACTCATGCAGTAGTTATACCAAAAATGCCCAAATGGCTAATGAGCATCTCTGGCTACTTTCATGCTTGTCCTTTGATGGTATTTGGGAAGCAAAGGGAGATGTGGGATGCTGAGAAGTGCAGGAGCCATGACCATCATTATCCTGGGATGGCTTATGCCTGTGGCACTGTGAGGGAATGGTTGTTCCTGAAGGTGAGGGTGATGGAGAAGAGGGTGGAGAGAGCACAGCTGTCTCTTCCACACACACCTAACAGCAACCCCAACATCTTACCCCAACCTCAGGCTGGTTGTCCAAGGTGGACCACACTAGTAGGTGAGAAATCAGGATGTGTTTAACATTGCACTTGGGTCTCAGCATCTCCAGAAGGCAACTCACATTCCAGGACAACTTGTGAGTTCAGCCTGGAGAAGAGAAGGCTCCAGGGAGACCTTAGAGCACCTTGCAGTACCTAATGGGGGCTCCAAGAGAGCTGCAGAGGGACTTTGGACAAGGGCCTGGAGTGACAGGACGAAAGGGAATGGCTTCAAACTGACAGAGGTTTGCAGAGCTCTTCTTTGCAAAATCTTCTGCTTCTTCCTCAAAATTAATGAGATGATTAATTAATTAAATTAAATTTTTTTTAATTAATATGGTCGAATCTTGCAGGACTGGAGAGGCCAGACTGGGGGGTGTTAGTGGCAAAGGTGGGGGGGTTTCCCTTTGTCTGCTGAAAAAGAGTTCCTGACAGCCTGGGACCAGGGAATATGGATGGAGAAGCACTGATGGGTGACAGCATCCCCATCACCTGACAGCAACATTTATCCCCTTGCCTGTGGTTACAAAACGTGTGTGTGTGTGTGTGTGTGCATGATATTAAATAAAAAAAAATGAGTCAAATGGGGACTCAAAGGTTCTTTGGCAGCCCTGGCAGGTGGCAGTGAGGTTTGTGATGCACATTCCCACGTGTGTCACCAGCTGGCACCGAGAGCTGCGGCCACGCCGGCGCGGAGAGCTCTGTTGTGCTGCCAGCCCAGTTGCTTGGAAAAAGGAGAAGGAGAAAAAAAACCTAAACAAAACAAAGAGGACAAACTCACCCAGACAGGCAGCAGCGGGCCCCAGCGTGGCTGAGGTTTCCAAGGCTACTGCCAGGCTGCAGCAGCACTGCTGGCTGGGACAGAGCCGCTTTTGGGGTCATTTCGTACAGTTTTTAGTGTTTGAGTTGTTAGGGCCACTCGTGGCTCAGGTTGTGTGTTGGGTGGGGGGTTGCTGAGTGAGGAGTTGGGATTTTTTGGGGAAGCCTTGCAGGTTTGGGGGCCGGGCAATGAGAGCCTTTCTAAAGAGCTCGGAGGGGTGTTTCCAGCTGAAACCCCACACCACGACCATCGGGAGCCACAGAGGGGCCGACATCGTCCTGCAGGTAGGGGCGGGGCAGCTGATCATCCTAAAACAGAGGGTGTTTTGGATGCAGGGAGGAGGACGTGCTGGAGTCCTCCATGCAAAGTGTGGTGGGATTTAGGACCAGAAAGGGGGCTTGGCAAAGCAGGGACAAACCTGGAGCCACCTCCAGCAGCGTTCCCTGCCCGCCCATTGCCCCCTCCCAGTCCGCAGGTGTCGCAGATCGTCACGCAGCCCTGGAATTCTCCGCCTCGGACAACAGCTTCATCCTTCAGGACTTCAATTCCCCCCACGGCACCTTTGTCAACAGCTGCCAGGTCCAGAATGCGGCCGTGGGGGTGAGGCCGGGGGACATCCTGCGCTTCGGCACCGCGGGAGTGCCCTTCGAGCTGGTGCTGGAGGGGGCTGCCCAGGTGAGGCTGTAGGGGGCTGCCCAGGTGAGGCTGGGTGGGGCTGCCCTGGGAAGGGTGCCCAGGGAGGGATGGGGTGCTTGCTGATCCTAGGGAAGGGTGCCCAGGGAAGTGTGGGTGGGTTCTACTGCCTGAGGAAAGGTGCCCAGGAAAGGATGGGGTTCTCCTGCCCTGGGAAGGATGGGGTGCTTGCTGAACCCAGGGAAGAGTGCCCAGGGAAGGGTGGGTGAGTTGTTCTGCCCAGGGAAAGGTGCCCAGGGAAGAATGGGTGGATCTGCCCAGGGAAGGGTATCTTGAGGAAGGATGGTGTGCTCATCCCAGGGAAAAGTACCCAGGGAAAGGCGTGTGGGTTTTACTGCCCAAGGAAAGGTGCCCAGAGAAGAGTGGATGCTGTTGCCCCTGGAAGGATGCCCAGGGAAGGGTGGATGGGGATGTCCAGGGAAAGCTGCCAAGGAAAGGTGGGTGGGTGCTGCTGCCCAGGGAAGGCTCCGGGAGCAGGAACAGGCTCCCAGGTCTGGGCAATTCTGAGGAAAGGCGAGAGGGGGAAATGAAAAGCTGGAGCTCCCTCTGCTGAAGAAACTCTGGCGGTTCGGTAGGGAACTGAAAATGACGGGACAACGGTGCGTGAGAGAAGGTAGATCTGGAAAATGTGCTTTTCCTCTATTTGCGTTTTATGTTTCTTCCCAAGCCACTTACTGGGAGGGAAGTTGGGTTTTACATCAAACCTACAGCAACTGATAAGTTCCAGTATCATTTTTATTATTGTGGCTCTTGAAGAATCCAAGATGCTGGTGAGGTAATGCCAGACCCTGCTGGAGCAGTGAGCAGCTGAATTCCCAAAGGCAGGGTGCACACGGAGAAGCAGATTTGCACAGCAATGCAGGGGATGCCTGTGGGGTGCCTATTCCTTACTCTGGGCTCTCTGATCCTCCTTTGGAGGAGCAGCTTTGAAGCCTGACCCTGCTGACTGCAGGGAAGGAACCACCTCAGAGTTGCACCCTGTGAGGTGTCTCACAGAGGGAGGGATCACTCCTCTCGAGTCTTAGAGGAACATGTTGTACAGAGGAGCAGCACCCAGCTGGGAATTGCATCCTGCTGTGCCTCGAAGTGCAGGATAAGGGCCAAGACAGGGACAGTGGAAGGCTTTGGTGGAATCCCGCTGTGAGCAAGAGCCATGGGGAGCAGCATGAGCAAAAGCAACAGGGCCTGGACGTGCTCCAGGAGAAGGGAAGGTGCTGGAGTGGCAGGCAGCATTCCCTGGGGGTTTGGGCTCTATTAACACCCAGATGTTGGAGGGCCCACATCCAGGCCAGGTCTGATGCTGCGCTGGCAGATGTTTAGTGCAGACCTTGACAGTGGCTTGTCCTCATTGTACTGGAAAGCTCAGGAGAACAGCAGTGTCCTAAATCTGGATCTGACATGCCCAGCATAAGGTCTGATAAATGTGATGGGAAGGCAGGAGCACAATGAGAGGCTTTGGTTCATTGGGGTGAATGGCAGAAACGATGAGGTAGGACCATGTGTGAGCCAGGAGAGCTGTGAGAGGAGCATCTCTAGATCGTGCAAATGATGTGCAGAATTAGGGCAGAGATGGAGAGGGAAAAGCTCAAAAAGCAGCAAACCTCAGTGATTTCCTTCTGCTTCAGCAAAGAGCCTGAATGCCCTGATTAAAATCTGATCCTTGGGCAATGGAAATGCTTCCACTGAGATCTGTGCCTGGGTTTTGTATGGCATGGGGCACATGAATCCAGGGCTAAAATCCTTGCTGATTACACGGTCTTTTCCCATCGTAGGTGTCCTGTCCCCCCTTGAAACGTCGCACAGGGTGGGCGGGGCAGCTCCAGGTGGTTGCAGAGCCCAAACCCTCAGCTCTGGAGTCTCCTCCCCGCCTGCCCTCACTGCAGTGGCAGCATCCCCCTGGCTCTCCAGGCAGTGGCACTCCTGGAGCCCCTGTCCACCAGCCCCATCCACCTCTGCCGAGGAGACCCCTGAGTGCCTGGGACAGGAGTGTGGCCAGCACTGCCTCTCTGGACACCTTCAGCAGGAGCTCTGTGGTGAGGCCAGGTAATCCATGATCCCAAACCCGAACATTTGTGTCCTGGTGTCCTCACAGAGCGACTTGGTGAGCTGAGTGGAGTTGACTGGACTGGGGAAGTGATGAGTGTTGAGCAACCAGCTGTGAGTCCCTGTCCAGTGGAGCTAATCAGAGACTGTGTGTGGTCCTGGGTGGCATTTGGGTCAGGGAAGAAATGAGCTGTGACACCCCAAAGGGAGTGCTGTTGCCTTTGCAGAGGGATGTTTCCTCTTCCTTTTTCCTGGTATGTGACCCAGAAGGGCGATGGCTGATTTTATCTGCACCAGTGACTCATGTACCTATTCCTGACTCCTCTTTGAAGTGGTGTTTTTTTCCTCCTTTGAAGTGGCTGCCTCAAGTGCAGGAACTTTAAAGTATATCCGTAGCTGATATGCCTCTGGAAATAAAGTATATGATAAGCAACAAAGCAAAGGTGAGGGTTTGGGGGAATAGAATAGCTGGAGAACATGACTTTTGCCATTAATGCTGTGGCCTGATGCACCATGCTGTGGTTTTCCTGTGTGGGGTTGGGTTTTTTGAAGTCATAAGCAACACAAAGTCAATAGTAGGTTTTAAATGTGCAAAGCCAGGGGCAGCACCTTGCACTCCCAGCAGTGGCTGAACTGGAAACCACAGTGAGGGCAAAGGGAGGGACACATATGCCCCAGGTTGGCACATACCCCTCTGCTTTTGGGGGAACAGAGCCAAAAGGATCCCCATGACAAAAATACACAGCTTTCTGTGGGGCTGAGCAGTGCTGGAAAATTAGAGGAGCTTTTCTCTGCTGTGCCTCTCCTGCTCTGAGGCTTTTCTGGTTCCCATAGGTGAATTATTCCTCTCTGTTGTGCAGACTGTGCTGTAAGTGTCATTTTAGTGCCAAATAGGTGGTTTCCCTGCTGGTTGTGAACTAAGCTCATGCCCTGAACAGTGGCCACTGCCTTGGAGTAGTTTTGGGACAAAGAATGCTGCAGGGAGTGTTTCTGCTGCCTGCAACCACCTCTCATGCTGATATTTACTGCTGTTGTTTTTGCTTTCTTCCAGTCTCAACCAGCTTCTCAGGTGATTGTGCAAGCAGTGTGGGGGGAGCCCCTTCCCTGGGGACTCACAACACGGATCTCCTCCAGCAGGAGAAGGTGATGCTGGGGAGAGAGTGAGGAATGCCATCCCTGTCCTGGTCCTTGGCAGAGCAGGAGAACCCTGCCAAAAGGCTGTGTGTCCCACCAGGAGTCCCAGCAGGGTGTGGGGACTGCCTCCCCAGGGGTCTGCTCCAGAGGATGGGGACAGTGGGTGGCTGGAGGGTGTGGGAAGCCAGGTGAGCGTGGCACTGATGGCCACGAGCGGGTACCCCTGGGCAGGAGTAGCTGCAGACTGGCCAATGGCACCTGCAATCTGCCCTCAGGGTGAGAAGCTGCTGCAGCTGGAGAAGGAAATGGGTCACCTCTCTGGTTTGGAAACAAAGCGCAAAGACGTGGTGATAAGAGATCTGCAGGAGGAGGTCGCGGCCATGGCAAAGAAACTGGCCCAGGCGGCGGCGAGGAACGAGGTTGAACTGACCCAGAAACTGCTGGCCTTCAATCAAGAGCTGGGAGGCAAAACAGAGGAGATCAAAGCCCTGAGGGAACAGGTACCAGACACTTCCATAGGCACCAAGCAGGGAAAACACCTCTCTGATACAAGTTTGTAATGTAACAAAGGCTTGGGGAAAAGCAGGTCTGAAACCAAGGGAAATGAGGGAGGTGGGTTTTTTTCCTTCTCTCCCTCCTTTTTTTCTTTCTTCCTTTTTTCCTTCCTTCCTCCTCCATGCCTCTGGCATTAGGATTTCATCAGGAACAGCCAAAGCACATTTAAGGTGATCCTATTTGAAGCAATGACTCCTGAGAGTTAGTCAAAGATGCTAAAGAGCAATCCCATCAAACCAGGACCTGGATGTGCCAGATTTCCCTCTCTGAAGGGGCTGTGGCAGAGTCAGTGAGTGACTGGGTGAGGAACACAGTGAATCTGTGTTTTGCAGATCAGTGACCTGCAGAAAGGCTCGAGCCAGGTTTTCAGCCATTCCCTCTATGAAAGAGACCTGGAGATCGGGAGGCTCCGGAGAGAAAGCGAGAAGTTGAAGAAGGACCAGGCTTTGAGTGCAGGTACCGTGTCCCTGGAGCTCTGGGTCAGGGCATGAAGCAGTTTAGGACTGGCTCTGGATAAAAGCAAGCATTGGCCAAGCTGTCCAGGCAACAGCTGATTTGTAGTGGCTTGTAGAAATCAGAGAATCCCGGAATAGTTTGGGTTGGAAGGGACCTTAAAGAACATCTTGCTCCAGCACCCTGGCATAGAGAGGGACAACTTCCATGAGCCCAGGTTGCTCCAAGCACCATCCAACCTGGCCTTGGACACTTCCAGGGTTGGAGCAGCTACAGCTTTTCCGGGCAACCTGTGCCAGGGCCTCCCCACCCTCACAGGGAAGAATTCCTTCCCAGTATTTCATCTAAATGTTGCACTTGTGTAACCTCTCACCAGAGCTGTTTTTCCCAGGTCTGGTGAGCAGCCTGCAAAGGGAGGTCCTGCAAAAGGAGCAGAAAATTCAGCAACTCCAGCAAGAGATTGAAAAACTGAAGAAGGAAAATCGAGAGAAGGACAACCAGCTGGCAGTTGTTTCTGCCAAGGTTGGCAGGACTAACGAGGGCATCAGTAATTTATGGTCTCACATAGGGCTTAAGGTGGGAAAGCAGGTGGAGAAGAGTTGTGCTTCTCCCTTGTGAGGATTGTAGCAGCTGTATGTGGGTGGCTGTTTGTTGGGGGGTCCCAAGGTGAGTCCTGGCTGCACACAAACAGGAGTCATGCAACTGTACCCCTGGGATGTGGTGGTGATGGTCCCATGGTCACAGCAGGGTGTCCTGTGATGGCCACGGATCAGGGTCCCCTTCCCCAGCTCGATCTCCCTCCTCACTCAGCATCACCGTGTACCCTGGATTCCTGTGAGCACAGGAGCTGTTTGTTCACACAAAGCTCTCATGCCAAGATCCTCCCGAGGAGCCATGGAAACCCCATCACTGGGGGTGGGACTCCCTGTGGCCTGGGCCTGGATTGTCCCTCAAAGAAAGTGGCTTGTGCAGCAGGTTGCCCCTCTGTATGTGCAGCTCCTCCTCAGCTGGCAGAGCTGCATCAGCAGTGTGATAAGGGGCAGAAGCTGCTCAGGCTCTATGGGATTGCCAGGGATTGCCTAGGAATCACAGAATTGCTGAGCTTGGAAATAACCTCTAAGATCATTGAGTGCAACCATTCCCCTGGCACTGCCAAGGCCACCACTAACCCACGTCCCCACGTGCCACATCTACACCTCTTGTAAATCCCTCCAGGGAGGGCAACTCCACCCTGCCCTGGGCAGCCTGTGCCAGTGTTCCATTCACAGCAGGAGTGATGGTGTCACTGCCCTGATGGATATTTTCCTTAGTTGCCATTCCTTCTAGTGCTCGAGAATTAAAGAGGAAACGAAGCGTGAGCGTGGAGAGCAAGAAATAATCAGCTGTCGAAATGTGAGTTGAAAATATTTTGGGGTGATGGAGCACAGGGCTAAGCAGTGGCTGCAGGAATGCATCAGCCAGGGAATAATTAACTGGGCATTGTAAGGGAGTTGTTTGGAATTCAACTCCTGCACTGGAAGGCACATGATGGGACTAACCACCTGGGGAAGTGTAAACTCTGTTGGATTTGTAATGCTGTGTTACAATGCAGGGCAGATGTGACCAGAAATCAGGTTGGAATTCTGCTGGTAAGCTGATAAAACCACAGTAAATATGGGTTAGAAGGGAATTCCAGGGTAAGCAAAGTGGGTTACATGGGGAAAACATCTTGCTTATGAGTGGAAGTTTTCCAGAGAGGCAATGCCCAGTTCCTCTGGTGAGACCCCTGCCCTCCCTGGGCTTTTGCAGCGCATTGGGGAGCTGGAACGGGACCTGGAGGGGCTGCAGATGGAAATCCAGAAGCATTGTGCCAAGCAGGAGAGTATCCAAAATCAGCTGGCTGAGAAAGCCAAGGTAAGTGGCTGGCTGAGGGGGGCACACAGGGGGCAGGTGTGCCCTGGTGAGCCCATGGCAGATCTCTCAGCCACCTGACAGGGGTGAAAGGTGGGTGGGATGAGGACCAGCAAGTCCCAGGAGAGCAGGCTCCTGGGTCAGGAGTACAGGCAGGGGGTCCTGTACAGGCAGGAGATCCAAATGTCCTGAGCTCTGCCGTGGACACTGAGAGAGGAAGAAATAATTCAGATAGCAGAGTGCCCTGTGTGGGTGTTGGGTGAGGAAGCCAAGGATGGACAATGTCCCAGGGACCAGACCCACGCAAAAAGTGCTGTGAAAGCTCTGATGCTGCAATCCCACCCCTGCAACGGGATCACTGCCTGTCTCCTGGTGTTCCAAAGCTATCTTTGGAGTTGTCCAATGGGAATAATGGGTAGCTGAGGTCGAAGTGCCCATGGCATGGTTTTCAGATGTCACTCTGAGGTGCCAATCATAGAATCATAGAATCATAGGATCAGCTGGGTTGGAAGGGACCTTTGAGATCATCAAATCCAACCCTTGATCCAACCCTGCTGTGGTTCCCAGACCATGGCACTGATGCCACATCCAGTCTCTTTTTAAAAATCTCCAGGGACGGAGAATCCACCACTTCCCTGGGCAACCCATTCCAATGGCTGAGCACCCTCTCTGCAAAGAAATTCTTCCTAATCTCCAACCTAAACCTCCCCTGGCACAGCTGAAGACCGAGCCCTCTTGTCTTGCTGATGGTTGCCTGGGAAAAGAGACCAACACCCACCTGGCTACAACCTCCTGTCAGGGAGTTGTAGAGAGTGAGGAGGTCTCCCCTGAGCCTCCTCTTCTCCAGGCTGAACAGCCCCAGCTCCCTCAGCCTCTCCTCACAGCACTTGTGCTCCACTCCCTTCCCCAGCCTCGTTGCTCTCCTCTGGACCTGCTCCAGCCCCTCAATGTCCTTCCTGAACTGAGGGGCCCAGAACTGGACACAGCACTCCAGGGGTGGCCTCACCAGGGCTGAGTCCAGGGGAAAAATCACAATGCTGTGGTGGTTGCAGGCGGAGGAGGAGCTGGAGGCAGCCTGTGCCCAGCAGGCCGTGCAGCTGCGGGAGATGGGGCGCAGGGAGCGGCTGCTGCGAGCGGAGCTGCGGCGGGCAGGGGAGCAGGTAGGGATCAGCAGGGATGGGAACATCACCCCCGGGGCCACGGGTAGCACAGGGACAGGGCTTCCCATGGGTAAGGATGTGGCGCAGGAACGAAAACGCAGAGTCCTGAGCACCAAACCCTGGCATGGGACTTGTTGTCGGGTGAAGTATAAAAGGCTTATCCACAGGATTTGTGTGGGCAGCGTAGACGATGGAGCAGTGTAACAGGATACAAAAAAAGGATTCTATAATCTTGGTTACGCTGTCTGGGACCCACACAAACCCTCCTGTGTGCCTGGGTAAAGCTGCTCTGGCAGGGACAGCCCTTTGCAGAGCAACATCACGCTAGATATCGATGATCAGTTATCCTCAGAGATGATCAATTAGCCTCAATGATCAGTGATGTTTGTTTTCATCAATCCTTGCTGCAGCTGGAGTCCTTCAAGATCCAAGTGATGCAAGTCTGTTCTCCATCAGCAGCAGGCAGCACAGGGAAATCCATAACGGAGCAGCAGGTGAGTTGGATACCAGCTCATGGTGCCTCCAACGCCCGGTGCAGCTCAAGGCTGCGGAACAGCCACAGTGCCTGCTCTGTGCTCAGTAGGCCTGGTGGCATCCAAGCTTCTGCAGATGAGGGGCTGTGCTGTGGCTGTCCCAGGTTAATGGCACTGCTCCATGATGTGAAGGAGACACAGCCCTTTTTGTGTCCCACAGCTTGGATGGAGTCAGTGGGCTGCAGCAGGGACAAGCCCAGGGGCCTGGCGTGGTTGCCAGTTTGCAGCAAATCTCGATTGTTTCTTGCTGAGACCATCCATGGTCCCTCAGCTGGAAAAGGGTATGAATATAATGCCTTATCCTGCTCTTCCTCCACCTTTGCCAGGCGATAGAGAAGGTCAGGCAAATCTGTGACGAGAACCAGCAGAGTCATGAGAGGGAGAAGTGTCTGCAGGAGGATTTAAGCTCCAGGCTCACAAAGGAGAAGGAGGTGTCTGCAAACATTGAGGTGCTCAAGAATTCCCTGCTGGAGCTCCAGGTCAGTCCTTTAAATACTGAGGACCAAGTGGCAGCTGGGAGATGGTGGCACAGGGCATTTTGTTGGCCTGAGGACAGGTTAAAGATATGACCCTGAAGCAGAGTGTCATCCCAAAGCGTTCATGTGGCTGTTCCCAGCAGTTTGCCATAGAATCCTAGAATAGTTTGGGCTGGAAGGGACCTTAAAGCTCATTTCATTGCACCCCCTGCCATGGGTGGGGACACCTTTCACTAGATTGGGTTGCTCCAAGCCCTGTCCAACCTGGCCTGAGATGTTCAGAGAGGTTGTGTCATTTGCCAAGTCCCTGAAAGCCCCTGACTGTGGAGATTGGCTTGTTCCCCACTGGTTCCATTTTTTCCAGGCTTGCCTGAGGAGCTCCTGCAGCAGCACCAGCCTGAGAGGGAAGATGGAGCAACTGGAGGTGGTGTCCCTGGATCCCTCCATCTCAGCCATCAGGACAGCAGTGGTGGACATGGCACGTGTCCCCCTCTCCTGGCTGGAGGACATGGAGCAGCTCGTGGCCAGTGCGGGGATGGACCTGTGCACCTCTGGCCAAGGTCTGTGTCCTGCTGGGCATCCCTGGGAACACCTGCACAAGGCAGGTTGTCCTAGCTAGCCAGATGTAGAGGAGAAAATCCAGCACGAGCCACTCCTTATAGAGAAAATCATGGAATCACAGAATTTTTAAGGCTGGATAATACCTCCAAGGTCATCGAGTCCAACCATTAACCCAGCACTGCCAAGGCCACCACCCAACCGTGTTCCCAAGTGCCACATCCACACACCTTTTGAACACTTCCAGGGATGGTGACTCCACCACTGCCCTGGGCAGCCTGTTCCAATGCCTGACCATCCTCTCCATGAAGAAATTTTCCCTAATATCCCTAATATGGTGTGTGAGCACCCCACACAGCAAGGTTGTGTTGACTTCTGCAGGGCTGTTGGCTGCTTTCAGGAGCTTGTTAGAAAAGACTCAGGAAGTGGCACAGAGGAATCAGCTGTTGCAGGTACAGAAATACTTATGTACATGAACCATGTAGATTTGGAATCTTTCCATGGTTAAACATGATAGTAATCCCAAGTGAGCCAGTGTGGGATCTGGATTGGGGATGTGCAGTAACCAAGGTGCCTGGGTCTGCAGAAAATGCAAGGGAAAGGAGACTGTTTTGGGAATTGTTTGTGAGTGAATGTTCACAGGAGGTTTATTTCTTCCCCTGCTGCTGACACACTTCCTTTAATACCTCGGTGTCTCCCTGTAGGAGCAATTAGAGAGGCTCCAGCAGTCACAGGCAGAGATGCTGCAGGAGCACACAAAGGAGCTGGAAGCAAAACATAAGCAAGACTTGGAGATAAAAATCCAGCAAATTATCCTGGAAAAGGACAAGGAGAACAAAGAGGTAGAGTGGCATGGTTGGTGGTTTGGAAAGGGAATGTTATATGCAGGAAAAATGGGGGTCTGTAGGAGTGTTGGTTATTAAAAGGAGGAATCTCTAGCTTTGAACTGTCTGGGTGCAGTCCTAAGAGCCCAATGGGATCCCAAGAGGATGCAGAATATCCTCCTGTATGGATGCAGGTGATGTAAACTCCCCCAAAGTATCCATGGTGGTACTGGGAAGCACCTGTGGGTGACAGGAAGTGTGGGTGCCAGTCAGTCCCTGGGAGAAAGGAGAAAGCAAGGAGCATCATCCTGATGTGTGAGCTTAGGGAAGCACTGTATTGCTTCCTCTCAAGCCCTCTGCTCCCTCCCTCTGCATGCTGAGCTCCTGTTGGGTCTATTTTAGCTGGGAAAGGACACCCCCTGTGAAGCAGGGACCAGCAGTCCCCCTCCATCCCAGGAAAGCCTAGGCCACAATGCTGGTGGCTCTGGTGTGGGATGCAGTGTTAGTGAGGGTGCAAGTTGGGGTTTTGCCATGTCTGTGTTGTGGTGGGGACAGCAGGCCTTGTAACACAGTTTCCAGTGTGCTTCTGTGTCTGGTGCCTCAGGAATGGTGGTTTCCTGGTGCTGAGTTTTCTAAGGACTCAGGAAAGGAGCAGCCAAGCAGCTCCTCCCCTGTCTCTTGGATGTACCTTTCCCCAGGTGCTCCCATCCACTCCCTCACTGGGTCACCTCGGGTCCTGCCAGGCTTTTCTCCCATCACCTGCCCCTGCTCTGGAGCAGTGACCCTCCCTGCTGCTTTCCTCCTTGGACCTGAGGTCTTTTTCCTAGGGTCATGATTTTTTCTGTGCTGAAGCTGTGATCTATCAATTCCCAGATTCTAGAAAGCACTCTCGCTGAGGAGAAGGACAGGTGTAAGAAATGTGTGGAGGAAGAGCAGAAGAAGATCCAAGAGCTGGAAAGCCACCTGAAAAGCATGAATGAGGTGAGCATGGGAAGTGAAGCAGGACAGCTCACCCTTGGAGTGAAGAAATGGGAATGTGTGTTGTAATGTGGTGCTTCAGGGGCCCAAATCAGTGGACAGAGGTTTTTTCCCCCCCCCAAATACACAGAGAGAAAGGTGGATTCCTGGATAGCTTAATTACTGCTAATTTCATCCTGCAGGCAACAGCAAGGAAGGCAGAGGAGCAGGAGGTGATAGAGGGCAAACTGAAAGAAGCTTTGCATGAGCTGGAGGAAACCACTGCCCGAGAGGTACTTCCACCAACCTGTGTGTGCAGGTGGAGGGTGCAGTGTTGATGAAAAAGGGTTCCCCCATCCCTGAAATCCTTCCCTCCCCTCCATCCTTCCAAGAGCTAACCAGGAGAGATGACACTGCTGGTGATCCCAAAGGAAACCACCAGTGCTCCAGCCAATCTCCCAGCTCTTGTTTCCCAGGTGTTGCTACAGCAGCAGGTGCTCGTGCAGGATGAGCAGCTCAGGGCTGTCCAGGAGGACAAGGAGTTACAGAGGCAGAAACTGGAGGAAGAAATAGCAGGATATAGGGAGCAAAGCAAGCAGCATTCCCTGACCATCGTAGCTTTAGAAGACAGGCTGCTGGAGGCCACGCAGGAGCAGAAGATGCTGGAGGAGGAAAAGGCAGCACTTGTGGAAAAAATGGAAGGTAGGTAAGGGTTGCATGGGATGCACCTGTACCCTGCTGGGTTAACATGGAATGTTTATGGAGAGGGAGTAGTGAATCTGCTGCTATGGAAGGCGTTGGGGAGGATGTTGGATGGAGCTTTGCCCACGTGCAGGACAAGGTCCATGAGTCCCTGCAGAGGCCATTTCATTGTTTGGTGGGTTTGGAAACCGTTAGTAAAAAGGGCTTTTTACCCTCTAAACCAACAAGACTGGAGGAGCACTTTGGGTTGCACCCAGGCAGAAGAGATCCCAAGCCAGACAGGATGTTGGGAACTGCCCAAGCACTGCTGGAAATGGGCTCTAAGAGACATGGATTTCCCAAGGAGATGGTCCTCAGTCCTTGAAGCTGCCATGAAGGAAAGGATCTGTGTTGCAGAAGCAGCAGAACAAGTGTGCAAGTGTTACAAAGAAGTAATGGGCCTTATTTTCTCGTGTCCTGTAGTAATTCAGCGCGGTGCCCACAGGTCAGCATCGGGAGATTGGCTGGAGGTTTGTCCTGCCATGGAGTCACACATTTGTCTGAGGTGAGCAGCTCTCACTGGTGGTGGTCAGAGAGGCTTGGAGAAGAGCAGGGACCACTGGGAGAGCCTAAGGAAGTCCAAGGAGACTTGTCCCAAGATCTTTTTAGTCTGGGATGGGCCCTTTGCTAGGCAGAGCTGTTCCTGAGGGCATGGAGCATCTTAACAGCACATGAGGATGTGCCATCCCATCCAGATGGCTCCAGGTACGAGCGAGCGAGGTGGCCAGACCCACTGCACAGGGTGACCCCAGGGGAGCAAAAGGCAGGGAAAAAAGGAATGTGTGAGTGTTCATCAGAAGATGCAGTGCAGGAAGGTGTGTGTGTGCTCCGTGAAATGAGGCCTCCCAGTGAGCTGTGAGATTTGCACTGATCTTTCCCAGGAAACTGCAGGAGGAGCTGGCAGTGGCACAGAGCATGCTTCTGGAAAAGGAGGCCTTCATTGGCAGGCTCACCAGGGAGCTGTCAGAGAGCAGAGCCAGAGTGTCAGACATGAGAGGTGGGTGTCATTGTCCCAGCCCTCCTCCAAGCAGTGACAAGGGGTGGTGTCAGTGCAGTGGGCACACACAGGGCTTGGGAAGCTGATGTCACCATCCTCTGGCAATGCTGTTGTCCTGCTGGGAGCAAAGCAGGCAGTCTGTTCCCTTTGGGAAGGTGAATTTCTTCCCATCCTTGGCTAAGCAATAGCAGTGATGGTGAGTGAGGAGGGCAAACAAAGGAAGATCAGGGGGACAAAACTAAGACCATCTTCCTCAAAATCACACTGGTGAGCTCCTTGGAGCTGGAATTGTCCCAAGCCAGTGGACTGGGAGAGCCTTGCCTGGCTTTCCTCCATGGGCAGGGCTGTGAATGTGGGGACAGAGTCCATGAGGAATGTGCAGAGGTCAAAGGATGCAAGTCAGAAAATGCTGGCAACCTGTTCCTCTCCAATCTGAAGGAAAATGCCTCAACAAGGAATTGCCCTGGGATTTAGTAAACCAGAATGTCCTGTTGGCATGGCCCAGGATCTGAGGGCAGCTGTGAAGGGCAGGGCAGGGTCCATTAGTGCTGCCAGCTTGTATGAGGGTGGACTGGAAAAAGGGGATGTATCCATGAATGCCAGCTGCAGATCCCCCAGGATGAGTCAGGCAGCATCCCACGGGGCTGTTTTGCACTTAGGGGAGCTCAGTGAGGAGCAGAAGGTGGAGCTGGAGAAGAACCAGAGCCGCCTGAAACACCGGGAGCGGGAAGTGAACCAGCTCAGGGAGAAGCTATCCCAGATGTCCAACCTTGTGGAGGAGAAGGATCGATCCCTGAAAGCAGCAGCTGAAGAGTTAAGGTACCCACTGACATGAGCCAAGGTTCCACCAATGCCACTCTGTGGGTGCCCAGCAGCTGATGGTGTTCAGGGTTCTCCCCAGAACAAAAGGCACATGTGAGAGCATCAGGGTGGAGCTCAGCTCCGTTGCACTGATATCCACTGCCATGGGAACCGAAATGGGGGTTTAGTGGAGCTTGTGCCAGCAGATGTGTAACCAAGTCAGTTGTAACTAGGAGAGTGTTCCCACCCACACCATGGTAGTCATCAGTGGGTGCCCAGGGTGCTGCTCTCCCCAAGCTGTTCGGGTCACATGGAACATGTGATAGAACATGCTCTTGGCATGTTCCATCCCTCATGGGGTCCCACAATGTCTCGTGTCTCGGCACAGGCGAGCCCAAGCCCGCTGCCAGGTGCTGAGGGACGCTTCCCAACAAACAGTGGAAAAGCTGGAGGATGCTCCCAGGACGCCAGTGTGGGTGGGTGAAGCCTCCCAGAGGGTGAGTCCCCACGGAGGGCTCCGAGGGGTGGGTTTGCCAAGAGCATTGATGGTGTTTCCCAGCACTGCAGTGAGGCCTGGTGACTTTCTCTGCTCCACACCGGCAGGAGGGTGGGAGCACCACATCCCCACGCCGGGGGCTGCCTGTGCCGCCCGAGATCCAGGGTTCTCCTGCTGCAGCCCCGGCGTTGCTGCTGCTTAATGAGCTGATGTTTGCACAGCGCTTTGGAACAGCAAAGTGTTTTGTGTGCTAATTGCTGTGCTAATTGGCAATTAGAGGGCATGGCAACGTGCGAGGGTTCTCTCCTTTTTCCAACTCGTGGAGCCCAAGGTGCTGTACAGGTGATGCAGAACCAGTTCTGGAGTGGTACGTGCAGGAGTAGGGGGGAGCTCGTTGCACAGGACAGGAAGAAACGCTCCTCATTCCCCTGTGCCAGACTCCTATTTGATTTCCCCGTGGCTGGAAAAGGGAAGAACTCGCAGGTGGCGGCAGCAGCAGATGGAGGGACTGTGGGAATTGTACATTCTGTGCAGGAAGGGTGGCAGCCAGCAGCGGGGCCGGCGGGCTGCGCGGGGGCCGCGGTGACTCACAGCCAGCTGACAGAGAGAGGGCGGGAGGTATCGCCCGTCCTGTTCCACAGGCGGGGATGGGGAGGGGAAGGGCCGAGCGCTGGACGTGCTGTTCGGCAGAGCTGTGGCGTGACAGTGGCTGGACCCAGAGCTGGGGGTCTGCAGCCATCATTAGTTGTGCACAGGGCAGGATGATGGGCCAGCCCCATCACAGGATTTTGGATGTTTGTCATAATGCAGGAATCTGGACTGGGCTGGGAGAGGGCAGTGGACATGTTTGTGTGCACCAGTGTCACTTAATAGAGAATAATGCCCACGGTTATGTAGGAACACAGTCTAGAAAGTGTGCTGGTGTTTGTGTGTAGATGGTAAGGGCAAGAGAAAAATGCCACCATGGCTGTTCAGAGACATGCACTATCCCTCTCCTGGCTCTCTGGAACATTTGCAGGGCCCATATCCTCACTGTGGCACAATGGAGCAGGAAAGAGGTCTCTGACGAGTCTCTTATACCCCTCCAAATCCATGGAGATACTCCTTAGGCTTTGCTCTTGGCATGTGCCAAGTGACCAGTGCCTGGCAGCGAGGCTGTGCTTAAGCCAGGTTTAAGCTGAGCTTGTGCTGAGCCAGCTGCAGGCTGGGTGAGGACAAGCTGGGCTGCTTCTTCCAGGTGCCACCGTTGGACTTGGCTGACCTCGGTGCAAAGTGCCAAGGCCTCAGGCACGAGGAAACGATCCAGCGCCAAAAGGAAGGTTTGGCTGAGCTCCGGGAGAGAGTAAAGATGCTGGAGAAGAGGCAGAACTCAGGTGAACAGGGCTCTCCTAGAAGCATGGAACAGTTAGAATCATGGAATGATTTGGGTGGGAAGGGACCTTAAAGCTCATCTCATTCTGCCCCCTGCCATGGGCAGGGACACCTTCCAGTGTCCCAGGTTGCTCCAAGCCCCATCCAACCTGGCCTTGGACATTTTCAAGGATGGGGAAGCCACAGCTTCTCTGAGTAACCTGTGCCAGGGCCTGACCACCCTCCCAGGGAAGCTGGGGAAAGCTGACCAGCCTCAAAGTGGCTGAGGTGTGAAGCCATGGCATGTTGCACCACGGTTTGGTGGCTGCTTGCCTCCAGGTGCTGTGAAGAAGGGTTTGGAGCCACGGGTGAAAGACTTACCGGAGGAGATAGTCCAGCACACAGGGCTTGAGATGGAGCCTGCACCCATGTCAGGAACAAAATTGAAGGCTGGCAAGGTAAGAAGGCAGTTTGGGGGCTGTGGTTCCTGTGGCTTAGTTGGAAAAGTATTCCCTGGAATAGAGAGGATGAACCTTTCAGAGATGCTAAGTAAGCCTTTCCCTGTCTGTGCAGGGTCCTGGCCACGTTCCTAATGGGGGCTCCCTCGGGATCACCAATAGGGCAGCGAGTTTGGACATGGCTGAGGTGACAGACCCCGGTGAGAGGATGGTATGTCAGGGACAGACGTGGTAAATCACGTGTAGAGCGTGTGTTAGTGCCCAGTGGGTGTAGAGTTTAGAAGGTTTGTGAACACATTTCAGAGGCAGGTGACTGGCAGGGCTTTGCAGGACCATTGAGGCTGAACTGCTCTGTGGTCCAGTTGAAGACATGGCATGGGGGTTGGATTAGATGACCTTTAAAGATCCTTTACAACGTTCTATGATTTTATGGTCCAGGGCACGTTGGGTGTCTACCAGGACATTTCAGGACCCCAGAATGTGCCATGGCACATCATTCTCCCCTTTCCACTGAAGGCCTTTGGGGTGTTCCCCCGGGCATTCAGGGCTGATCTGCAAGGAGAGGCAGGGTTGGTGAGGACAGAGACCTTCCCCAATGTAGGTGCCAACTAAATGATATGAAAGAGGCTGGGGCCCAATGGAGGAGGCTGCCAGAGGAGGGGTCTGTGAGTAGTACAGCTGGTGGGGTCTCTTCCCTCCAAAAAGGACAGGAAAACATCCATCAGGGAAATGGTCATGTTGGAAAAGGAAACAATCCAATCCCAGTAAGCTGTGCAGCTGGGAATGGAACACAGACCCACTTTCCTTGGGACACTGTCATCTCCTCAGGAGAGCAGATGGAAAGCAGATGGCTGAGCAGCGTGATGGAATGCAGCAAACCTGGTAAATAATACATTCCCTCTTCTTCCCTCAGTACCTTGATGTGATCGGTGCTCTGGGAAGCCTGATGGAGATGAAGGAGCTGTCGGGAATGCAGCCTCTGCAGCACCTTCCTCTGGAGGAGAGGGAAGAAGTGGGACTGCAGAGACAGAGGGCCCTGGAGCTGCTGTACAAAAAGATCAGGAACCTCCAGCATCGCCTGGAAAGGAAAGAAGAAATGCTAAAAGATTATGAGGGAAGCATGGAGCAGCTAAGGTGTGGAAAAGCAAGGTCACGGTTCCCAGTGAGACCTGGTCCTGGAATGCCAAGGGATGTGGCACCTTGCCGGGTCACGTGTCTGCCTGGGACTGGTCACAGCATGGCCATGGTATAAAAATTAAATGCTAGGAGAAATGGGGAAAGGTTCCCCCAGTTTTCTGCGCTGGTACCTTGTGTGGTCTGATGTGGTTGAGCAGTGTTAGAGCTGGGGAAACCCTGGCAGACTCCAGTCTGGGGTGACTGGAGCCTGGGGCAGCAGCAGCAGTGGCAGCTGGGGAGGAGGGACAGTGTCAGCAGGACCAGGGCAGGTGTGGGAGGGCCCAGCTGGGCGTTGGGGGGGTCGATGCAGGCAACAGACTGACAGAATCCCCCCTCCTGTTTTGCACAGGCAGAACCAAGCGTCCCTGCGAAGGTGTCAGGAGGAGATGTCCAACCTGGAAGATGAAGCCCACAGGGAGGCAGAAGAGAAGGCTCTGCTGCGAGAGGCTCTGGAGAGGACACAGCTCCAGCTGGAGCAGGAGAAGAGGCTGCGGCGAGCGGCCAAACGGCACAAGGTGAGTGGGGCAGGAGCAGGTGACACCCAACTCCTGCACTTTATACAACAGTCTGTTGGAAGCACAGATGGAGTGGTTGGCCAGACCACCCCAAGAAGCTGGAGGTCCCAGGGTCCTGCTGCTCAGCCAGCTCAGCGTCATGGCAGCATCACACTGCCAAAATTGGAGGTGGTGCAGGCACCTGTAGCAATGGGTTTGGGCCATGTCCTGGGGTGGGGGAGAGGAGCAGGTCACACATGACTCTCAGGACCTCTCACGGTGAATGCTGTGTCTGGTGTGTTTCTGCTCTGCAGCCTGGAGCCACGAAGCCTCTCTGCTCAGGCAAGCCAAGAGCCAAAGAGCACACAGCAGATGCTGTCAAGAAGGGAAGCTCACAGCAGAGGCACCACAGGGGCGTTCAGCAGGTGATGGTCTGCGGTAGGAACGAATCACCGCTGTAAACTCTGTGATGGTGGAGCAGGCTTGAGATGTGGGTGCACTTTGAGTAGCTCCTGTCGGTATCCTGTAGCTCCTGGGCACACTGGTGTGACAGTACAGTGTGTAGGACCTAATTTGCCAGCAGTGTGTGTCTCACACAGCATGGTGAGATTTATGGCAGTGGAAGAGGTGGTGAGGGTACAACCCAGCCTATACACGTGTGTATATATATTTGTGTATGTAAATACAGCCATGATGTGTGAAGTCAATTGTGTGGGGTCTGTCCTTTCCTTGGCTGAAGGGGCCTCAAGCACACACAGCTTGAAATACCCCCATATCCTCTGGTCCCTGTGGTGCCTTGGGGGAACTGGATCATAAGATATGATGTAGTATGGTATTCCAGAATTCCTGGAACACCCCAGGAGCACAGGAAGGGGGAAGAAGAGAACCCGTGTCAGCCACACTGGTACAGCAGCAGCACAAGGACAAGCTGGGGAGATGAGAGCGACGTGCCCGTGGGTGATGGCACAGGGTCCCTTTGCCACCCACTGTTGGCATCGACTGAGGTCCCACTGCTCCTCTTGTCGTTAACAAGGGTGAGAGCAGACCCTGGTTTCTGGGGAGCAGCAGTGTTTTGGGGTCTCCCTGCAGGGAACAGGCAGCTCCAACGCATGTCATCCCTGCAGCCGCTCCGCCTCAGCATCGCTCGGAGCGCTCCGTGTGCCGAGTCCTCGGCATCACTTCAGCCGAGGATAATTTGGATGTGAGCAAAGGCCCGCTGGGGGTTTTTTGGTCTTTATTTTTTAATAGGATAAAAAGGTCTGGAAGCAGCAGCACGGAGGGCTGCAGCAGGCTGATGTAGGGCTGTGGGTGTGTGCAGCACCCAGGGGTGCACAGCGGCCGATCCCTAATGGAAGTGGTGGTGCTGTGGGCTCCAATCATCAATGTGGCCTGGTTTCCCCCCTCCCTAAGCTGGGAGAAGCTGGATGCTTCCCTGTCTGCATGCCTGGGCTTATTTTGGGGTGAGGCATGACCTTGATTGCCTGGTGGAGGTTAAAGATGCTGCTGTGAGCATCCTCTGGGGGTGTCGGGCCGCTCCATGTCTGCATGTCCTCGCCATCCCAAACCCTGGGTTGGGAATGGAGGGAGCTGGTAGGAGCACAGGTGCTGTGCGTGCACCAGGGGCTGCAGAAGCCCCTTCCCCTCTTTGGAGCATATGGAATCATGGAATTATGAGATGGTTTGGATTGGAAGAGACTCTAAAGATGGTCCTGGAGGAATCCCACTGGGGGAATGGGACCTACTGGTGATGCCGGTGGGGGCCCTGGGGGATCACAGACAGGTTTGAGTTGAAAGGGACCCTAAAGATCATCCCATGGTGATCCCACCGGGGGATAGATGAGTACCGCCGGTGATGCCCGAGGAGAGGGGGGTCCGAAGGGGTGGTGATGGGCTGATAGAGGGCGGCGGGGCGGGGCCCCCTCCCGTGCCCGTGCGGGAGCCGGGGTGTCGCAGCCGGGCCCCGGGG